TAGGTTCTTTTAGTTGAAATTTATCAATTAAAATGTTTGGTTCTTCAACGACAATAAGAAAGACGAGGTATCTTCCGAATTTCCGACTATCTTAGAATGTACAAATTTAAAATTTTGCTCCAAAAATATTTTTTTCTCAAACAACAATCATGTTCTTTTAATTATTTTATCGCCAGTTTATAGCGCGTTTTCCACTCTACAAAATCCGGTCTAAACAATATCTTCACTATACTTCCTTACTGAGTGAAAACACGTTTTTCATCTCATGTTAATAAATGGCCAAACTTTTCAAAGATTATTTTTTGAGAAACGATTATAGTTTCAAACCAAAACTTATATATGGTTAGATGCGCAATAAAATTCTCTATCGAGCCTGCTATTCAGCTTTTTGATGCTTTCAAATTTTTAAATCCAGCAGGGTCCTTTCTTCTGGAATGTATCTCTTAATACTATCATATATCATCAAGAGTAGACATTACATAACCCGATAAAAAAATCGAATATCTCCCTCCAGGCAAGCCAGGGCAGCCTATACTTTAACCTCGTTGATTGGCGGTGAGAGCTTTAATCTGACCCGAATAAATCCCATTTTTCTCACGGACCGTACAAACACTTCCAGTGTGAGGACCAAGAAAAACGAGACTGTCCTTTACAACTTTTGTTCTCTGATGCTTTCCGGTCCATGACTTTGCAGGTGCACTTTTTCAAAATACTTTTTCGTTCTGCCGGATGACGGGCGGAAATTCTTTTCTCTAAATTCCGTATCTCTGGAACGGTCAAACTTGGGTTTTATAGGTTCCTCGATGAGCCCTACAACACATCCAAAAATCACAAAGGAGCCTGCCTCTTAAATGCTCTTCCGTGAGTTATAAGCAGGATAGGTGCACAACTGCATATGTTAGCTTTAGGAGAGACTAATCTCGTAGTTGATTAAAAGTTTTTTGTTTTCTTTAAACTTGTATAACTGAGTAAGCTATTTGCAAAGTAACTTTTATACATTCATAAAAAGAAGATCGCCGATCAAGGTTTAATATAACACCACGGTTCTCCACTACCCTCTTCCAGTGGTGACCAGCAGCAGTTTGCAGCTTCACATGATTGTTGGTTGGTCTTTTGACAATCCTTGCGCTGGTATCGATCTTGATTGGCACATGCGACTGAGGCTGGGTTAATATAACACCAGGGTTGTCCACTACCTTCTTCCAAAGGTCCCCAGCAACAATTTGCAGCTTCACATGATTGTTGGTTGGTCTTTTGACAATCCTTGCGCTGGTACCGGTCTTGATTGGGACATGCGCCTGAGTTTGTTGCTGCCGTTGAAGTTGTTGCTGCCGTTGAAGTTGTTACTGCCGTTGACGTTGTGGAGACTGTGGTGGTGTCTGGTACAGTAACCTGTCCTCCGTTTGCTGTCATCATACCTGCTACAATATTCCCGTTGTATAATTGAATGTGGTCACTGATTGGTGTAGCACCGGTTCCACTCATCACTTGAGTATTGCCACGAAGGACAGTAACAGTTTGAGCACCTTGTTGAAAGGGAACGCCGATCTTGTGAAGACCAGCTGGCACAGAGATCGGATCATAAGTTTTACTGCCTGATTTGATAACGACGGTTGCAGCGGAAGCCAACATCGTAATGACAAAGATATGGTCTTTTTGCGTCTTCATCTCCTCGGGTAAACCCAATGGATCATTGGTGGCTTTGGCATTGAGGGAATGAGTACGATAAAAGTAATAGGCCTTTTCTTCTGTGATAGTGGGTTTACGACCAGTTTTGAAGGCAGTATGATAGTACGAGGATAAATCGAGTAGAGCATCATGGGATAAACGAGCCCATGTTTGATCATCTATAACGCCTTCGACGGGTCCCAAATAACTCGATTCACCATGATCATTCCAAGTAACCAGTTCTATAAAATCAGGGTTCAATTCTAAGAGTCGTTCCCATTTATCAAAGAAAATTTGATCATCTTCCGGATTGCCCCAGTTCTTTGAATTGTAGTGAGTGAAAAACCACGGTGCAACACCGGCCATCCACGTTTTTCCACTTGCTGCACGCAGGGCAGCATAGTCAGCATCGACTTTAATATCGGCAGCAAAACCCAATGAAGGGTTTGTCCATCTGAACAGACCATCAACGAATGGATAAGCATTTGGTGCAGGCGCTTGCCATTGATTAAACATGGGTACGAAGTAGACGGGAAGACCTCTGGCAGCGAGGACCGCTTTAATATCAGTATCCCAGTTGAAGGGGGCATTCGCGCCTTCAAAGGTCGATAAAAACATTTTGTTTTGGTACCATAAGTGATTTGGATGAGCTCCGTATTGCGTGGCAAGGTCAAGCACGTTTTCTTTGGTTAAAGCGGAGGTTAAATCAAAGGAGAAGAAGAGCTGAAAGGAAGAGAAAAGAACAGATTAAGGCCTTTTCCTCAGGATAAAAGGTCCTAATTTCGTTACCATTCGGGCTTTTCCGGTAATGGAGCACCTATCATAATTCTACAGATATAAAGTTGCGAAAAGAAACCGCTTCGTTTAAGTTATACCACTAACCGACAGAGCTTACAAAACTTGATAACTTGGCAAAGTTTCTGACTTTTCTTAAAAATTTCCCGACCCACGTGAGAAATTTCAAAAAACGATACCACGTGGCATTTTTGAAAATTGATTCTCCCCTCGAGAATTGGGTTTAGGGAAAATCTGAGTTGGTCGTTGGATAGCGGATCGAAAGGCGAATACACTGTTCGAATGCACTCTTTATCCGGATCACGAATATGCTTTTTGTTTTATATATTTCTGACTTAACTAGATACCAGAAGTAAAACAAAGAAAACAAGGTCATCTGAAAAACCATCGATTTTTCAAACATTCGGAAAACTTGTCCGATCTCGTCGAAGCTTGCCACGTGTTTAGCTTATAGTATGGGATGGCTACGGTAAAAATTCCAGCTCAACTCGAGTTTATCTGGCTGAGTGGCAGCCATTGACCGAGAGACGTCATTCTTTTGCGCTGGGAGATATTTTCTCACATTTAAATACATCGGTCAATGCGTCTCAAAAAGCGCTGTCGAATGAGCCGTTATTCAAAGAATCCAACCTATGTCCGTTTTTTAAATAGAGGAATACTGACTCTGAGACATTTAGATTGACTTTCGATGCGATTCTTCTTGAAAATTCTGTAACTCCGTCAGTTTACGTTGCTAGAAGAAGAAAAAAGTTTCACCACTAGAACTTTGTCCGGGCTACGCAATGAGCGAATAAAAATGGCAACTTCTTCTCGTCGTTTAATAGCCTCCTGGCACGTGCTCGATCGAGTCACGGACCGTCTTTTAAGTAGGTGAAATCTCAAGTTTACTTTGGAACTATCGTTTTTTCACATTTTCAGGCGTATTCAGTATTTTGAACATATGTCCACTCAAACTTGATTTAACTAAAATAAAAAAAGTGGTATTCGGAACCAGCGCTTCACGGGCTGCATTAATGCCGATCTATTTTGCTGTTTACGTTTGAAATTCCCGGCACCTTAGAAATTTACCTCAATTTAGGAATCGAAATTCAAAAATCGGTCACTAAAATCGATGCGGAATCGTCTCCTCTTTCTTTAAAGACCTCTCGAAGCTAAAACGGACAGAAACCGTAAGAGGTGAAGCTAAAATACTGAAAAAGTAGCATTGTGCAGGATCGCAGCTAGTGCTTTCACAGTGACATTGCTTGCCACTTTAGAATAGCTACTAAAGATCGAATTTAAATTTGTAAAATGTGCGGCTGGTATTAAACGACCGAGACGGAGCGGATGTACAACTTTTGTACCTGTAGTGGTGTGTGCCGACTTACCGGCAAAGCGCGTACCTCGATGGAATGTCAACGTGTCATTTTGGGCGTATAAAAAGTTACTAAAAATTGATAACAGCAACTTTTTGAACATCCAAATACATATTCCTGTAGAAGACACTCAGGGCTATTATGGAACAGAAATTAGCCTCCCATCAATCCTTAAGCGGAGATCCTAAAGTTACGTTGATTTCTTCTAGTTTCTAATAGATTTAAGTATGTAAAACTTACGCGAAAATTGGAATTAAGCGATTTCGCAGCAGCGAAAATGTCTGCGATAGACTTGAGCCAAATGTCCCGATACGTATCGAGATTCCATCCTCCGAAGTTGAGAGCAAAGGCATCAACCCCGTTTGATTGCGCTAATTGAATGTGTTTCTTGTAATCAACGGGTACTCCGCTTACCATCCAATGTGCAGCAACAAACTTGCCTTGCACTGACGTTGGTACAGCATAGGCGTAACTTGATAAGCATGTCACGAGAAAGGCGACGAAAGTCCACGACAAAGAGCGAAGAATATGGACCATAGTGAGCCCAGTTTTCAAGTAATCTAAAGTGGCAATGCAGTATGGTGTACATAGGTTTATAATAGTCAAAAATACAACAGGCAGTGTGTCTAGAAAACCATAGATAAAGTAACTAATATAATAGAATAGCCCGTAGAATGTAGAGAAAGAGTATCATAGTCAATTATGCACACGAATGTGTCCCTTTTATACACAAAGAACATTGCTCCCCCACACAGAAAATTCAGCCTGGTCAGACCTGTTCTGATGAAGAAATATCGAGTTTGTCACGAAGGAGACCGACGTTGCTGTGCATAACATCGCATTTCTCTGGAAACAGGATGATATATCGATCAGAAATATCGAGTTGGTAACTAAATAAGATGAAATTATAACATTAATTATAGTATATTTCCACAGTGTCTCTGGAAATATCGAGATTCGCACGATAAAAGGCAATGTTCTTGAGGAGAAACATAGAATATCTCACGAATAAAGACCACCTAGTACATAATAATAGCGAGTTTCTCTGGTAAAAGCATAACGGATGAACTTCTTGTGGTTAATTATCGAGTTTCTCACGGAGAAAGATGATGTTACTGTGCACAATATCGGAAGACTGTTGATCAAGCCGAGCGTCAGCAGCCAAAAAAAGAAGACAAACGAGACATACAAAGAATTGTCGAACAAAATTTCTGTTTTGTATATAAGTGAGAGAGTAAAAGATACAAGGAATAAGGGAGAGAGAAAGAGAAAAAGTGTTTTTTTCTCGTTCTTCCAAGTGTTTGAACTTTGTAACATTAGATCTGTACAAATTTTTAAATTTGCACATTCTAAGAAATGCGATCATGCACACACTGTATGATACTGAGAAAGAGAAGTAGGTTGAAACGAAGTTTCGAACCCACATGTTAAAAATGTTTTTCCTTCTTTTTCATTACACTGAATCCGAGGAGTATCGAATTAGCTCATGAATCCATGATGAACGGCCCTCCGATGAAGTAAACGATGAATATCGAATTACTGACGATGACAGCGGTTTTTGCTGTGGATAATCTCCAGTTTTTCTGAGAAAAGCAGTCTATTCTTGTGGAGAAATATCGAGTTTCTCACGAAGAAAGTCGATGTTGCTGTGGATAACATCGAGTTTCTTAGGTAAAAGCACGAAGTTGTTTTGGAGAAATATCGAGTTTCTGACGAAAAGGGATGAAGTTGTTTTGGAGAAATATCGAGCTTCCCGCGAATGAAGATCAGTTAAGATCGAGTTTCTCTGGGAAAAGGATGAAATTCTTGTGGAGAAATGTGAAGTTTCTGACGAAGAAAGATGACGTTGCGGTGAATTGCCTTGAGCTTCTCAGCAAAAAGCATGGCGTTCTTTTAAACAAATATCGAGCTTTTATCGAATGAAACAGAAGTTATTGTGGAGAAATATCGAGTTTCTCACGAAATAAGATAAAGCTCTTGAGGATACCCGTCGAGTTTCTCACGAACAAAAGCGAAGTTCGGATGGGGGAAATATCAAGTGTTATACGAGAAAAGACGATCTTCTAGCGGATAGCATCGCGTTTCCCTGCAAAACTAAAAAGGTATCAGTGCCCCTTTCCTAAAACTTACATTGGCATCACACCTTTGTTAAATTTCGACATTTATCGCCATTGACCGAGTATTTCACTTCGGCCGATTTGCAAATCGTTGGAAGGATTTCATAAGAATCGGATATTCTCGACAACGACGATCAGTATCACCAATAACATCGGTTTTATCAAGAGGGATAAAGTGATGTAGTTTTCAAACATCTTAAAAATCTTAAAAATGGTATTCCCTTGTAAAATAGCTGGCACGTAATAATAAGAAATTATAAGCCATTACTGGCACAACAAGACGTGCACAGAGGAACAGGTTTCGATGCGATGTGAAACTGATGGAATGGAAAAGAAATTATATATCGCTTTTCGAATTGAAGACAGAAAAGAAAGAAGAAAACAATAAATCTTATTGTCGTTGAAGAACCAAACATTTTAATTGATAAAATTTCAACTAAAAGAACCTT